ATTTATTGTAATGTTTATATTTATTAAAAAGTCATAATAAAAATTTTTAGTTGCTGATGAAGTCCCCAGTAAGGGACGAAACGTACAACTAGTTCAAAATAAATTGTTCATCAGATTTATTAACCGTCTATAATTCCCTTTGAGACTTATATATTAATATATTTTTTGGACAAGAATATTGATAATTAAATTGATAATATTGTTTTGTTTATTTAGAGGTAGGCAGAGGAAAGCTCACCGTCGGTAAGATATACGTCGCTCTCATGATAATTGAAAATTGGAAGACGACGAAGTTTGGTCGAGAAAAACCATCCGGACAGGTGAGTCTTCCCTCGAACACGTTTATCTTATTAAACGTGTAAGAAAAATAAATCTAAATCTCATTCGAAAGATCTTCAACGTTCTTCCTCTTTTCCGTTAATCTTTACAATCTTTCGTTTAGAAATTCTTAAAACGATCCTAAAGATTTGATCAATAGGTTAAAACAGATTCGATTGAACGAATTATATGGCAATGGAAGGATTGTAAAGACGATTAAGATGGAAGATTCGATGAGGTTTAATCACTTAACAATAGATGTTTTTGTCGTTGGCTTTTTCGTGGTAGGATTTTTACACGACCGGTTCGAAAAGAAACCGGTTTATTCTTTTTCAAATAGCGATTTTCCACTTGATCATCCAAAGTAGCTCGATAGTCAACCTTTTCCTTCAATTGGGAACGCTCGAAATTCGAATTCCTAATTTTATGATTTGTATTCTAAAGAAATTTTATTCTTAAGAAATAATTTTGTTGTTGTTGACAAAAACAATTGAACAAAATCTCGAACTCGGGCGATCCTAAAACGATTATTATTCCTAAAACAATCCTAATTATTTTTTTCCCGGCGCTATATACCTACATATATATATATATACCTATATATATTACTTACCTACCTCTGTGTGCTGAGTAGTGCTGAGAATTTTCAAAGAATTCATATGTATCTGAATAGGAAACGAAAATTTTTCCGAGGCGTTCAATTTTCGGTTTTTTCCATCCCATTGAATAAATCTCAATTTTATAATCGATCGATCGATTTACAATTCATCGATCGATTAACAATCTTCGATGAAAATACGATTAACATATTTCTAAGGATTTCTTTACTGGGACGGTAAACATTATCGATTAATTTCATTAAGTTGTGGAATTTTGTCGATTTGATTGAAATAAAACGTTGGTTCAAATTTTGTACCTTTAACTTCGAATTAGTAAAGTCGATATCCGTAGAAGAAGTTCAATGTGTGACCCTTCCTGTGAACGATATATAATTTTAATTAGAAACTTAATATATATATATATAGTAGATTATCTCAAGTTGATTCATTTGTTCATTTGGTATATTGGAATATAAAATTGATTTAATCTATGAAAAATATAAGTGATTAATGATTTTTTGATATATTTTATTTTAGAACATGTCAAATTTTCACAACAATCATTAACGTTAATAACTTTAACGAACACTTTTTTACAACAAAAACAGAAAAATATCTTTATCATAAAAGGATAATTAATTATTTTATCGAATTAAATAATTTATAAATAAAAACAATACGAGAAAAAAATACAACGAATGGATCGACTCGAGAATACTAATTAATGTTTAAATAGATAGTTAAGAAACTGTGTGCAGTTTTGAATGATTTAAGATTAGTTAAAAGTTAGAACCGAAAAAAAAAAAAACAAAGAAACCAAATATTTTTTGATGCATTTAAATTGATATATTATATATATATATTTGTAATATATTTGTTGTCTTCTTAATGATGATACATTTTTAGAAGAAATTCTACCAACACGAGGTTTGAAAGTTCATTTTTATATTTTAACTAATGGACGAAAAATACAAAACGAATTTCATTTCTATTATCGTAGGCGTATCCGATAAATAGAGGTGATTTACAAAAAAGAAAAAAAAATGGAAAAATATTTTAAAATTATACTACGAAGACAAGAGGATGTTCACGCAGCTCTCAATCATCTCTTTGTGTCTTTTTTCTTTATTTTCCAGAACGATAACGATCTTATCGATAACGATAATGCTGGGCAAAGTCCTGCAGCCCAGGCGGTAGTACTTACTTTTTCTCTTACTTATATCATCTTTATATCATATTCTTTTTTTTTTTAATTCTCATTTTAATATTCATTTTGTTTCCTTTTAACTATATTATACACATTTAAATATATATATAT